ATGTTGACCCTCAAATATTCACCACCCCCTCAAACACCACAAAATTTGCAACCCTGGGGTGACGTCTTGACTATCTACGGAAAAACTAAATTTTGACACTATTAGGGCTTAGGCCGGGCGCACACCGAAAGAGCAAAACTGATCCAAACTGGTCGAAACATTTTGTTTCAAACAGCTTGGAACAAATTTCATTCACACTGATAAAACAAAAYTGTACGAGACAAATTTTTTTTACACCAGTGGTCAAGATGAGTTCTGACGAAGCTAACGTATTATACCTCTTTTGTGCCAATTTTTTGTTAAATAGTGAAATAAATGAAAATAAACGTAAAATTAGGGTGCACGAAATAAATAAAAACACGTTCAGAAAATAATACAATTTTTAATTTTTTTGGATGAATTGCGTAAAGAGAAGTTCTTGAATTGTTCAATTCAGACATTGGTTCAATTCCATTGCAAAGTATGTGCAATGTAAAAGTTTTGTAACATATCTTTAAATTTTAAAATAAATCAATTAAAAATATTATGTTTAATATATTAATATCATATTATAACTTCCAAATAGTTTGAAAATAAATAAATATTTCAACTATTGATTTAATTTTAACCATAGATACCAACATAAGTATAAAGATATACTATGTACTCATCATTTAAAAAGTAAAATTATTTTATTTTATATTTTTATAAAATAACCTGATGTCTCCATTTCTATGCTAATCTCATTCTATAATTTATCTTTGATTATTTTATTACTATGATTTTTATCAGTATAATAGTAAATCAATTTTCTTAGAAATACAAGATTGTTCAACTTTTCTGGATCGCATCACACATTTAAATATAGTTGAAAGGCTCTGTGCAGTAATCAGACAGCTCTGTTTTATACATTTTTTCATGAAGCACAACAGCTTCGATAGTTGTCAGGTTTGTGTCAAAAAAAAAGAAACCAAGCATTTCCAAAATTAAAATATTTATATATTCAAAAACATTTAAAATAATATCATTAGTAGGGTGCGGATTTGTATGTATTAAAAATTCAAAAATATGTACATATATATGTATTTAATTT